GATTTAATGGAGATCATCTACCTCAAATCTGGAAACATAGCATGACATGTGCAAAGATACTATGGAAACAGTGAGGCCAAATATTTGAAGTGAGAGTTATCTCAGAAAATTTAATATCCAGTATAACTGTAATTATACTTATTAGAATGGCAAAGACCCAAAGGCATGTTTTAGAAAGTATTTAAACAATAAAAGATGTGCATTGCTTTTCTATCCCCTCCTCCATCAAGCTAAACACATATGAATAAAAAATAAAATTGCAACCCATGCTGATCACCTAATGGTGCTGGTTAATGAAGTTTTGTGCATTATAGTCTACATTTTCTTATAATCTGTCATAACTGATAAGTCATTCACATGTGTGGGTGTTCCCTTCCCAACTGGATTATGAACTCTGTGATTCTCTTCTCTTTTACTCCTACACATTTTTGACTGAGGATTCTGGCCTTTCTTAACCATCCACATGTTTCTTGCTCTTCATTCTCTCATTGTCTAACACTACTTGAGCCCAAGGTTAGCTTAATATAGAAATAGCAAATAGAAATGCGCTAAAGGTCCCAGGATATACTTTCCTGGGGAAAGCAAGCTGGCACTTTGTTTTTCTTTAGTCTTATTTGCATTCTTCAACACCAGAAAATAGCAGACTTTGTATAGACAATTGCCATTTATAAATATTTAGCAAGGTCTTATCTTCTTTATGCAGTAAAAGAGGATATTGAGGTGATTAGCTCGTCAAAATATACCAGCCCAAAAGACAAGTTTTATTGCCAAAGATTCAAGACAATGCATTGACACTTATTGCCTCTTATCCCTTTAACATCTCTCTCTCTCTCTCTTTTTAGGAGCTAACTTTAAAAATAAATAAATAATAATAATAATAATTAAACTGAATAGCATCATTTTAACAGCTTTTACTCAATACGTTGTTTTATCTCTAGCCATGTGATCCACTGTTACTAAGAAACTAAAATCAATAATTTTCAAAGAATACACAAGTATTCAAATAGATGACCAGTTTTCCTTCTTTCTTTGCCTCAGGCTTTGGAAGTCTATTCAAGAAACCTAGCTTCAAGTGTCTCTCATACTTTTTAAGTTCAGCAATCGGATTTAGGTGAATTGGAAAGAATCCTAAGGGATGGAGTTAAATTTGTAATATAATGATCCTCAGGTCAAAGCGGTTAGAAGGAAGAGGTTTGTTGTTTTATTTTTGTTAGTTACAGGGCATTAAATCCTAACTTGTGACCTTGGTTAAGTCAATTTATTTTGAGGAGTGTTAAATTTCCTACTAACATGGGATAGTTATAGTTTCTACGCTATTCCAAAAATCTATTAAAAAAATAAAAGTAGAAATCCATTTTAACAGGAAAATATTTTGAAATCACTTTTGTTAATATCTCAGATCTCTACAATTCTTGAAGTGTTTGCCTTTTTTATTCTTACAGATTATTTCTTACAGCCCAGACATATTGTCTAAAGTTTTAGAGATTAATGAAGATTAAAATCTTTGGTTAGATTTTTTTGGGGTTGTTTGTTTGTTTTTGGTGGTCTATAGATTATTCTTTTGAATTTCAGTTGGTTAAATATTTAGGATTTCAATCTTATTTGATATGCTCCACTGTTTTTGACCTTTTTTTTTTTCAGAAACTATTTAGTCAGTCCAATGTTCTGATGGTCTGTAAGAGCATTATTCTTGTACAGAGCCCCTAGGCATAACTACTTAGAGATAGCTGCCTTCCTACTCTGTAATTGTCAGCTAAATTGGGAAGATCAAATTCAAAAGCAGTAAGAAAGTATAGATAATAAGTTCAGATTAAGTTGAAATGCTTCTGATTTTTAAAACTGTTTTGATGGAGGAAAACATCATACCTTTGGAATGCATGTGCTGCTTAGGATATAAAGCAAAGGTAGAACACATATTATAAAAATGGATACTTTTCAGTCAGTTGTAATTACATGGTGGCAGTGGAAAAGGAAATTTTCATAGTCTAAAAATGGGTATATGCAGACTACTACAGGAAAAAAGAAAGGTATCTTCTCATGCTTCCTCTGTATTTGCTTTCAATCTTCTGATGCTATGTTAGTCAGATTTCCATCACTATGAAAAAATACATGACAAAAACCAACTTAAAAAGGTAGAAAAGTTTGTTTTGGCTCATAGTTTCAAAGATTTCATCCCATGGTCACTTGGCCCTGTCACTTTGAGCCTGTGGTGAGGCAATAGGTTAAGGTGGAAACAGGTGGCAGTGGTCTGTTCACCTTATGGCATCTGAGAAACAAAAGTGAGAGGAAGGGGCTAGGGTCCTAATATTCCTTGCAATGTCAGGACCTCAATGACCTAACTTCTTTCCCCTAGACTCCATCTCTTAAAAATTTAACACCCCACTAATAGTGCCACAGTCTGACAGATAAGCCTTTTAGAATGTAGGCCTTTGGGGGAATAAGATCCAAAATATAATTTTCCACCCTGGCCCCCGAGGGCTTATGTCTGTCTCATAATGCAAAATGAATTTAGTTCATCTCCAAGAGTCCCCAAAGTCTTAGCTGTTCTAGTATTGCTCAAAAGTCAATGTCCAAAGTCTCCTCTGAAACCCACAGCAAACTTAGCTGTGAACCCATGTAAAACTAAAAAAGAAAGTTACATATATCTAAGATAAAATAGCCCAGGGCAAATATTCCCATTTCAAAAGGGAGGAACAGGAAAATAATGAGGAATCAGCCTAAAGCAAGAACAAAACCCAGCAAAACTATCTGGGTCGCACAGTGGCCTGATATGAGTTCCACCGGGTTTTACATCCCCTGTCCCTGTGACCTTTTCCTCACTGGGCTGGCATTCCTTATTCCTGGCATCTCCAGCTTCCTGGGGTCTCCATTAGCTTCAGCTTCACTCTTGCTTTTTCATGCATTGCCCATCAGGAACTGCTTGCAGGAACTTGAAGCTTTCTACATACTCCCTGGACTCCTAGACTTTTCTTTGAAATCTTGATGGAAACCTTTATGACCCCATAGCTCTTACATTCTGCATGATTACAAAACCAGCTTCATATGAATATCACCAAGTTCTGCCACAAGTGCAAACTATACCAAAGTCCATGTGAACTGTGGCTACAACAGTCTTCAGGCGCCTTGTTGGCTGAACATAGAAAAAGAATACTGGGGAAACAATTCCCAAGGGACCCCTATGCTAGCAGGGTGCCTGGGGCTTTCTTTTCAAATGAAAGGTTTACTCTTTTACATTTTCAAGACTGTGATGGGATAGACAGGGTCTTACCAATACATTGAGGGCATCTTTCCTACATCCTGGTACAAGTACTTGGCTTCTTTTTAATGTTGCTGATCTCCAAGCTTTCTTGGTTGCAACCTTAAATGCACTGCACTCCTTTGCTGACCAAACTGCAAGTTTTCAGAATTTGTTTTTCATTTTGCTTGCAATTCTCACTGAAAATATGGCTAAAACCCCCCAGCAATATCCATGCCACTACCTGAATGATGTGACTTTGAAATTTCATTTACCAGATGAGTTAGTCTATAACCTTTAAAATTAGCCTCTCACAAAGTATCAGGACACTGAGCAAACTGTATTCAAGTTCTTTGCTACAGTATACAGGATTCTTGGTCCAATCACCCATAAAGTCCTCATTTTCATATGAAACCTCACCAACACAGTCTTTACTCTTCACATACATTTCACATTACTGTCTAGTATTCTGGTCTTTTGAGCTCTTACCAGAATTGTTTATTAAACTATGCTTATAATATTCTAGGCTTTCTCTCACTCAAACTTCTTCAAACTTTTCCAAATTTCCCCTGCACACCAATTCCATGGGCTCTGACCCATATCATTAGTGATAATCATAGTACAATGACCCCATTTCTTAGTACCAATATTCTGTGTTAGTCAGATTTCTGTCAATATGAGAAGATACCTGAGGAAATCATCTTAAAAGTAGGAGGGGGTTATTTTGGCTCATGGTTTCAATGAATCCAATCCATGATCACTTGACCTGTTGCTTTGGGACTTTCATGAGGTATTACATCATGGCAAAAGTATATATATTAATAATGTAAAAACATCCAAACAGTGTATATGTAGTCTAAAATTTGAATATCCCTTTCCATCCTGTGTTTGCCTTGCTTCCATTCCCTATATTTAACAGGTAAAATTATCATTTATATAATCTAGATTTATATAAGTATATCATTTATACAAATACATAATCTTGAGATTTGATATTACATAAATATTTTTAAATATAAAATTTATTGGAAATCTTGTTGTTTTAATTATGTCTTAAAAATCTTCCAATGTCACTATGTAGAATTGACTCTCTACATCTGCAGGTTCCAAATCTGCATATTCAACCAACCTCAGTTTGAACATAATTAAGGGAAAAAATCTGTATTGAACACTTATAAACTCTTTTTCTTGTCATATTCTTCAAACAATATAGCATAGCAACTATTTATATAACATTTATATTGTATTTTAGGTACTATAAGTAAGCTAGAGATGGTTTTGTATATGGGAGAATGTGAATAGACTATATGCAAATACTGTGCCATTTTATATAAAGACCTTGAACATGCATCTGTAGGATCCTCAGTATGAGGGCTAGGCAGATCCTGGGAATAATTCCCTATGGATGACTATATTTGCATATAATCTGTGCACTTTCTCCATTACACTTTAAATCACCTCTAGATAATGTATAATACCTAAAAAAATGTAAATACTGTGTGAATAGTTGTTATATTTATGTAGGTTAGGAACTAATGACAAGAAAAAAGTTTATATAGGTTCAGTACAGATGAAAGTTTAGGTTTTTTTTTTTTTGAGGGGGGATATTTTCAATCCACAATTATTTGGATTTATGGGTATAGAATCTGTATTACACCATTTTACATAAGGGACCTGAGAGTCTGCAGATTTAGATATCCACAAGGGGGTGTAGGGCTTAGAACCAAACCCCAATAAATACTGAGGGGTGAATGAATATACTTACCAGCTAAGCTCATGGACTCTGGTGTAAGAAGCCCTGTTTTTAAATCTTATCCCTCTGAAAATATGGGCAAATTAATGAAGTTCTAAGGTTCAATTTCCTTATCTGTAAAATAAAAATAATGATAGTAATATTAACTCAATGGATTATTGAGAATAAATGAAAATTATAAAGAGTACTAATGTCTAATTAACATTATTTTTTCTCATTCTTTTATTACTAGTCAGTATTCCAGAAGTTATATAGTTTATTCTATATACTGTTTTAGCTACTCCCTTAAATGTTAAAGTATCTCATGTTCATTGTTTTCAGGTATAAATATTTTGCTAATTTTCATCACCACTACAATTTTTTAATCTATCTTTTGTGTTTTCAAATTTTCAAGCTGAGGATCTTTTTATGTGGGGTGGGTGGTGGGAATGGGCACTATCATTTTTACTAAGAGACTAGCTTTCTTTTATATATATATATATATGACTTTCTTCCACTTGTGAAATAGAGGCAGAGATATAATGTGACTGTTACGATAAAAATTCTTTGTTATTTGTAAGGAATTGTTTTGGGCCAAATACTTACTCAGTTTTGCATATGTTCCAATATTATCTTAAAAGAAATATGTATACATTAATTTTCATATGCAGATCCTCTATTTTCACTAGATTGATTGTATTTTGTTATCTACATCTTATATATACTTATTACTTTTTAGTCTTTTTTATCAACTTGCATGGTTTCATTACAGTTGTGAATTTGTGAATTTTCCATGTAATTCATTCAAATTTTCAGGGTTGTTTTTGTTGGATAAATATAGGTTTGATATTATTTTAGCTTTCTGATTTCATTTTTATTTTTCAAAATATATGTAGAATCTGATTATCCCTATTATTTCTCTTAACTATAAAATCTATTTTCTCTGATATTATAATAATATTAGCTTTAGTTTTGTTAGCATTTACTAATTGTAAGAGTTTGATGATACTGATCACTCCAATCAATGGCCTCCACAGACATCCATATGGCCATGACTTTGTAGTTCTTCTCATAAAAAGGTAGCATATTTTTGTCACCACTTTAATCTGGATTGTTCTTGTAACTTGCTTGGTCCAATAGAATGAACTAGAAATGGCAGTGTGACTCGTCTAAGTTTAGGCCTTGAGAAGACTTTAGGTTTCTTCTCTCCTTTAGAGTCCTGCAGCTGCTCAAGTTACCCTGCTGGATGAGAGACAAGTGAGCCATCACAACCCCTCCCTTGCCTCAACAAGAAATAGTATATATATATATATATATATAGTATGGTTTATATAGTATATAGTATGGTTATATATATATATACACACACACACATATATATATACTTTATATAGTATGATAGTATGGTTATATATATATAACCATACTAGACTAGTAGCCCCCAATCTACCCTCTAGCTGATAAAGGTAAATTAAAGAGCCCAGTCATGTCAGCCCAAGTTCCCAAATGATCTGAGACTAAAGGGAAATGATAAATATTTATATTTTTAAGTCCTGAATTTTGGGGTGCTTTATTACATTGCAGTAGCTAGCTGATGCAAGCTATAAACTTTTCTAACTTTCTGATAATCTCATTACTGATCATAGTTTTAAATATGACATTTACTATTAGTTTTGCATTTATTTTACTTATGCTATATTTTTTTAGTTTATTTAAAATATCATAATAAATAATTTTTAAAAACCCAATCTGAGAATTTCTTTAGTTCATCTACTTTTATTGTGATTATCGGGGTGTGTGTACCACACATAAGTAATTCAGCTAGAGGTTAGACTGGGGACTACTAGTCTAATAAGTTTGTATGTGCATGCAACTCCTTTGCTGAGGCAAGGGGAAGGGTTATGATGGGTTACATATCTCTCATTATCTATCAGGATAGTTAAGCAGTTAGCATGACTCTAAAGGAGAAAAGAAACCTACCTAAAAGGTTTCTTTTTTGATTTCTGTATACCTTTTTTGTTGATGCTAGTTTCTGTTTTCCTTTCCTTATTTATACTGGCTTACCCAAATTTTTTTGTTTGTTTGTTTTCTTCATATAGAGAGGAACTAGAAAATTTTTTTGGTAGAAATACTTTCTATTTTTCTTAGTAGTTTTCCTGACATTTAAAAAGTGCATGTTTGATTTAAGAAAAGCTAAATGATCAATATAGTTAATCTATCTTCCTTGAAAGCAATACAAGATCAAGATCCTTAAAGTATTTTAACTTCTGCCATCTCTGTTATGTGCTATATTTACCTACTATTTTAATATAATTTTAGTTTTAGTTCTGCCTTCTAAAAAGTGGTTACTGCTTTCTACAGTCAATGTTTATTCAGAGTTTATTTTATATTTATCCATTATCTTGATCACTGTTGTTTTCACTTGTTTCTTCCATAATTTTCTTCTTTCTGGAGACCAATTTTTGGTAGTTCTTTTAAGAAAGAACTGTGAATGGCAGAATCTTGTTTTTATTTATCTAAGCAACATTTGAATCTTTCCCTTTCCTTAAAACAAATATGTTTTTAGTCATTGATGGACCTTTATTTAATTTATTTATTTGTATATGGTGCTGAGAATTGAACCCAGGGCCTCACACATGCCAGGCAAACACTCTCCCACTGAGCCACAACCTCAGCCTCTCTTGCCTTTACTCTTAACTAATATTCAGGTGCACATAGAACTCTGGGTGGGCAATTACATTCTGGTAACACTTTGGAGATATTACTTAATGTCTGTTGTTTCTATTGGGAGAAGTCTATGATGCTTATACTGGTTAATCTAATATAAGCATTTGTTTTATTTGGTTGAGTTTCAAGTTTTCAAATTTTGGTGATTTTTGAAGTTTTGCTAGAAAAATGTTAAAGTGTAAATTTATTTTTATATAGTCTTATTGGGACTTATGTTTATTGGTTTGATTATTCTTTTTTAAAAAAAATCTGGATACTGCATGATATTTCTGTCTTTGAATATTGTCTTTATTTAATTTCTTTTAAGTCATCTTTAGAGGTATAATTAGCTTTTTTTTAGTCATCCTCCATAGCTTTTATTCTCTTTTTCATCTATTTTATCTTTAAAATAGATGAAAAAGAGAATTAAATCTTCATACTTTTCCAGGATCTATGTTTTTAGCACTAATTGACTCTTAGTTATGTCTCATTTTATTTTACCCATTTACTGAAGTTTCAATGATTATTTTATTCCATGACTTTCATTAATTCTTTTGTTAACTCTCCTTCTTCTTTTGCCATAGTTTCAATTCTTCTAAATATGGTTACATCTTTTATGTCTTTAACACTTCTAATCATACTCATTTTATATATTCTTCTAAATTTGGTCACATCTTTTGTGTCTTTAACACTTCTAATTGTACTCATTTGATATACTCATTTTCTAAAAAGTTTTTTCTTAGTTGTTGATAGACCTTTATTTTATTTATTTATATGTGGTGCTGAGAATTGAACCCAATGCTTCACACATGCCACGTAAGTGAGCTAGCCCTGAGCCATAATTATCATTCTGTTATTTTCTTAGTCTTGGTATCTCCAAAAGTCAGTCTTGAGGAGACTCATGTATATCTTATTTGGGAGGTGAAGGAAGCACGTGGGGAACAGCATAGGATACATGCTTCAGAGTTATCACCTGTTCCTTTCCTGCCCAGAAATAAGGGAGCTGTATGTATATTAATTACTGGTTGAGGGCTTTGCTGGAGGAGTTAATTCCATGGAATATATAGCCCACTCTCTGCAAGGCTTTTAGTGCTGCTTTAGAGGAAGTCCTCAAAGATATACAGATACCATAAGTTGAGAGTTGACAATGAACATGAAGTGGTAAGGTCTGAGTTTTAAGACATAACCAAGAGTGCAGTCAATATTTGCTACAGCAAGTTAATCCTCCTGTTGGGTTTGATGCTTACTCTTGCTTATGTATGCCTTGTAAATTTTAACTATGAGCTCATCTTTAATGGTTGTGTGTGTGTGCATGGATGTGTGTTTTCTCTGCCCTATGAACTTAATGAAATAGTTTCCCTAGTGGTTTAACTTTTACTTCTATCTTGTTTCCCTGGGACCATATTTTTTTAATTAATTTCTCCTTTGGAGGGTATCCTGAACTATGAAGGAAGTATAAATTCAGTTTAGTATTAAATCCATGCATGTGGCAGGATTAAGTTTTTCATTAATAATTTTCTCTTCCCCAGAGCTCATAGACAAGCTTCTTTATCATATCCCTTGAGTAGTGGTCTAATTTCTTTCTATTTTCCTTATCTTTGGGAGTGTGGCATCAAAAGTACTGGCTTTATGCTCAGTTTCAGTTCTAAATGTTTGTGTCACATAGGCCCAAGTTCTTGTCTCCTGTCCTTGAGTATGTTTTGTAACCCTAAGCCCCTGGTTCCTGCAAAATTTGAGGACCCTACCCAAGGCTGCTGCAAAATCAGCTGATGTACTTACAATTAGGGCTTTCAGTTCCCTTGGTTCTGCCACTATCCCCTCCCTTTATTTTCCTATGCATTGAAAAATTTGTTGTATTTTTCAATTATTTCTTCTAGATGTTGGTAGCAGGATGGCTTCAGCTTTTTGTATGTCTGCATTTGTTGGAATTGACCATATACATTTTTTAAGTACTATAACATGCTGAAAGTGTCTAAAATAATGTAAATGTTCATGCTTTTTATATGGTTGTTTTAGCTTTTTTTTAGTCATCCTCCATAGCTTTTATTCTCTTTTTTTTAATCACTGTGACCAAGAGACCTGGCAAGAACAATTTTAATGAAGAAAACTTTATTTGGGGGCTCACAGTTTCAGAGGTCTCAGACCATGGATGGCCAAATCTGTTGCTCTGGGCTGGAGGGGAGGTAGAACATCATGCTGGAAGAGTGAGATGGAGGAAAGTAGCTCATGGTACCAGAAAGCAGAGATAGAGAGAGAGTGTGTGTTCCCCACCATGGACAAAATATATACCCTAAACCCCATCAACCCACCTCCTCCAGCCAGACCTATCTACCTACAATTACTACCCAGTTAATACCTATCAGGGATATTAAGTACTTACTGATTAGGCTTTTGCAACCCAATCATTTCATACCTTTCTTGCATTTTTC